ATTCAAAGCAAAGAGGGGCGGTTGTCACAACTCACCCACCACATTGGACTATCTTAAGGCACTCAGTTTAATTATTTTTAAAAGAAAGAAAAGAACACTGTTAAATGAACCGTCACTTAAATATCTTTGTGCCTTGGTGAAATTCTTTCAGAAAGCTTTATTGCTAGTTTATTAAGCTTCTCTTGACAAAAGAAAAACTGAGATCTTTCGCATACTTCTCTCTATTCAAAATCACATCATAATCATTCAAGCATACTGTTTTAAATTTAACATTCAGACACAAGGTCTTTTTAAAGGTTTGGGAGGAAGAACACGAGACTATCAAGAGCTGAGGGTTACTCAGAGCTCCCTCCTCATTCATTCTTACTCCACACCCCCGGGGAGAGAAGAAATTCATTCTGCCGCGTGGCTCCGCAGGATTCACAATTGCAGGCTAGTATTTTGAAATGTCATTTTTATTGATCTCCATTTGATGTTCCATTTGCCTTTCCTGGAGCAGACAAATTATGTGCATGCCATTTCCCTAATAGCAGACGTTGGAAATCTGAGTTTAAATGAGCTCTTGAAAAAACAACCAAATGAAATATCAACTAAACAAAACTATTGGGATACACATACATTAATGCTGATTTTAGCATTAAAATATATCTTTCTTAAGACTTCACAGGTCACAATAAGGGTGCCAACATACTACATGATAGAATAACACATTTTAGGGCATAACAGGCAGCTAAACACTACAAGAAAAGTCAAATCTCAGGCATAAAATGTAAATCTGTCAACTGAACACATGAAATTTAAAGCATGGTTCAAAGACTGGGATTAGAAAAAGGACTATCAAATCCTATTCTGCAGAACCTAGAAATCTGTGCAGCACAGCCAGTTCCGTAATAAAAATCAAGTAACAAAAGTCAGTTTATCTTGTTAGCTACCATCTTTCCTTTCTAACAATTTCAAAAACAAATTAGTCAATAAAAAGCTGAAAGATGAAAGGTTTGCTTTACAGAATAGGTGTAATGTTTAAATGCATTTTAATACTTTTACATATAGTATTATTTAATAAAATAACTTATAAATGAGTTGTATAAAGTTAAATTAGAAAATAAATACAATCTCAAGTAACAGTGCATCAGCCATAGATCCATTTACACACAAGAATGAACTGCTAGTCTTAAGCTGAAGACACACTAACAAAACAATTAATAACACAGACTAGGTAACTTAGTAAGCCTTTGATTTTAAAAAGTCAAAATTTTAGATTTTTAGAGGAACGACTGATTTCAAACTTTTCACTCCTTAGACAGCATATAAGAAATCATAAAGAGCATCAATTACAAAGTGATGCAATGAAATCAATTATACTGTATTTCAAAAAGCTTAAACTTCTACTCATCCTCTAAAACCTGTTCAAACACCATGTCCTTAAACTGTATTGAGCAGCTAAGGCACGAGTCAGCTGTAATGCGTCTGACTTTCCAGAGCACTCGGTCTTGTCTAGGAATACTGTTGACACTTAACATATTCTTCTTCGCACTGTGTAATCTTTAAATATATCTCAACTCCAGTACTACCATTTCAGTTCTTTCTGAGCCCTCAACCAAGAATGAATAAACGATTGGAGGGAGGAACGGTTGGATGGAGGCTTGGGCAACAAAATCCAAGGTTATGGGTCACAGAGGATTTAAGATGTTGAAAATTATTTTTAAGACATGCTCTCAAGAACCAGCACTAGATAACAGATAACTAGATAATTAGATAACACAAGAAATTATGGCCCCCAAGTCTTACTAAATCTCTGCTTTCTTTTTCTCTTTTAAATAATTCTGATTCTGTAAGGTGACACCTCTAAGCAGCCCAAACATACAAGTTTTTGAAAATTCTTTAAGACTTCATATTTTAGCCAGTTCTTTCATATTATAATTAGCATGAAATATGAATTTCAAAAATTCCTTATTATCAGGGCCGCCCGGTAGCATAGTGGTTAAGTTCACACCCCGCACTTCAGCAGCCCAGGGTTCACAGGTTCGGATCCTGGGCACGGACCTAGCACTGCTTGTCAAGTCACCCTGTGGCAGCATCCCACATAAAATAGAGGAAGACTGTCACAGATGGTAGCTTAATGACAATCTTTCTCAAGCAAAAAGAGGGAGACTGGCTACAGATGTTGGCTCAGGGCCAATCTTCCTCACCAAAAAAATATATATTCCTATTATCAAAAAATCATACTCTGGCAGTACAACAACAAGACAGTGGTTTAGCTCCAGACTAAAATTTTATTATGCAAGGAAACAAGATCACCTAGATTTTCTTATAGAGTTTAATTGAATCACCAATATCCTTAAGTAATAACATGAAAAACACATTTATCAGATAAAAGTAAATACAGCAAAGTACAAAACTATGTACATGTTATGACTATAACCTTGTAAAACAAACAAACCTAGGCATAGGAAAAAAGGCCAAAACACATACTTCCAAATAACCAAGGTGAGGGGGTTCAAAGGGAAAACCAGGAGTGATGTTCTTCTACTTTCTGAATCTTCAACATTCTATTTTATCTCATTACGATAATTTTATTAGGATATATCTCTATATAATTCTTTATGTTTTATCTCCTTAAATAAAATCATTACACATCACATATTACTATCTTTTATGTTTAAAAATAACATTTTAGAGGGGCTGGCCCCATGGCCTAGTGGTTACATTTGCCACACTCCACTTCGGCGGCCCGGGTTCAGTTCCTCAGTATGGAGCTACACCACTCGTTGGCGGCCGTGCTGTGGCAGCAACCCTCATACAAAACAGAGGAAGACTGGCACAGATGACGATCTTCCTCAAGCAAAAATAAATACATAAATAAAAATAACATTTTAGAATCAGAGAAGCATAAGTTTGAGTCACAGCTAAGTCATTCTAGTAGTAAGAACTCGATGAAGTTACTCAACTTCTCCACACCTCAATTTTCTCACCTAAGTAAACTACTCGGAAGGATTGAACAGTACCTCACATGAAATGTCTAGTACAGTGCCTAGCTCACAGTAGCACTCAATTTACATTAATTCCCTTTTCAACATTTTTTGTTGTTGATTGAATTCCCATACAGTAAGTAGACAACACTGATTAAGTACTTCGATTAAGGGGCAATCAAGTTATTAAGAAAAGTCTCCTCCATCAAAGGACCTTAAAATCTACCAAGAAACTCAAGAAAGACATCGAATAGAGCCCACTACTCCTTCCCACTTAGCCTGAATAAGACCTCAGAACCCTTCCGAACACAGCAGCCCAGGCAGCCAGAAGGAATTGCCTCGAGAGTGAAAACCTTTTTGTCATCTGCAACGCGGAGCAGGGGCTTTTTAAAAAGCTTCTCCCAGAACATAGAGCACAACATCAAGACACAGGAGGGGAATGAATTCTTTACACAGGTTTGCCAAAGAATTAAATCTATCACTCAATTTCCATTCACCCAATAAAACATTTACAATGCAGCTTTTAAAGAATGTTTTGGTTCTTTTAGTATTTCAAACTAGAAATATTACAGTAAATCTTCATGACATTGGATTTGGCAATGGATTCTTAGCTATGTCACCAAAAGCACAAGCAACAAAAGAAAGAATTGATAAGCTGAGCTTCATCAAAATTAAGAACTCTTGTGCATCAAAGGACATCATCAAGAAAGTGAAAAGACAATCTGTCATAATTGGAGAAAATATCTGCAAATCATATATCTGATAACGATGCAATAACAAGAACGTATAAAGACTTCCTGAGACTCAACAACAAAAAGACACACAACACTCTATTAAAAATGGACAAAGGAACTGAACAGACATTTCTCCAAAGAAGATGTACAAGTGGTCAATAAGTAGATGAAAAGATGATCTACGTTACCAGTAATAAGAGAAATAAAAATGAACACCACATGTGAAGTGACATACCAATTCACAACTACTAGGATGGCCATAATCAAAAAACAGAAAACAGGGGCTGTCCCAGTGGCGCAGCAGTTAAGTTCGCACGTTCTGCTTCAGTGTCCCCAGGTTCACCAGTTTGGACCCTAGGTGTAAACCTACACACTGCCTGGCAAGCCATGCCGTGGCAGGCATCCCACATATAAAGCAGAGTAAAATGGGCACGGACGTTAGCTCAGGGCCAGTCTTCCTCAGCAAAAAGAGGAGAATTAGTGGCAGATGTTAGCTCAGGGCTGATCTTCCTCAAAAAAAACCCCCAGAAAACAACAAGTGTTGTCAAGGATATAGAGAAATTGAAAGCCTCATACATTGCTGATGGGAATGCAAAACGGTGTTGTCACTGTGAAAAACAATTTGGTGGTTCCTCAAGAAACCAAACACGGAATTACCACGATTCAATAATTCCACACTTTTAGGTATATACCCAAAATAACTGAAAACAGGAACTCAAAGAAATATTTGTATGCCAATGTTCACTGTAGCGTTATTCACAACAGCCAAAAAGTGGAAACAACCCAACTGTCCATTGATGGATGAAAGGATAAACAAAACATAGTATATACATACAATGGAATATTATTGAGCCACAAAAGTATGAAGTTAAGATACATGCTACAACATGCATAAGCCTTGAAAACATTATGCTGCATGAAATAAGCCAGACACGAAAGGACAAATATTGTATGATTCCACTTATATGATGTACTTAGAAGAGTTAAATTCACAGAGACAAAAAGTATGGCAGAGGTTACCAGGGTTTGGGAAGAGGTGGAATGGGGAATTATTGCTTAATGGTCATAGATTTTCTGTTTGGGGTGATGAAAAAGTTTTGGAAATACACAGTCACGATGATTGCACAACACTGTGAATGTAATGAACGCCACTGAACTGTACAGTTAAAAATCACTAAAATGGCAAATTTTGTTATACATCTTTTACCACAATAAAACTTTTAAAGTAAATTAAATTTAAAGGCACAGGAAAAAATACAACAAAAAATAATAAATAAAAACGCCACCGCATCAGTACCTTTCCACACACTGCATTCGGGAGAGAGGAGGCTGACATCTTCGGTTGTAAGCTTCTCGGGCAGCAAGTCTCGCTCCTGACAACTGAAAGAGAATAAAAAACCCACTTAATAAACCATCAAACTTGCTACCACCTTAGAAAAACTGGTTTCACATTCTGACATCAAAAAGCCAGAAATTCAAGCAGCTCAATGTTGTAAACAAGCATTCATTTCAGGGGAAAACAAAACAAAACACACTGAACTGCGAAAATTCTAGAGCAGTTTGAAGCAATGCCCAACATATTAAATCACTGAGAGATCACCTGACAAGTGGTGATCTTAACGGGTCTGCAGAAGAGTGGTGTACAAGGCTGTTTTCCAACACACCTAACAAAGCCGGCAATTTTCTAGTCAAAACTTTCAGAAACTTCAATTGGGGCTGAGTCCAAATGGATACCAAGCTCATAACTCTAAGTGCCTTCACTGGTCATCCAGTGGCTGTATAAAGGATGTTCAAAGCAAATGTTCAAGAAGAGTGTTCTTCTAAAACACTTCCTGGAATGATCTAGACTAGACTCCCTGGGAGAAATCTGTATTTGCAAACGATGGATTAGCCACCACAGTAGTTTAAGACATTGGTAAACAGGGCAAGTTCAGAGTAAGTATAAACTCCGGTCTCTCAAACCAAAAAACATGTTATCTTCACCTCTCTTAACAGACTCGACTTATCTAATGCTCATACTACAGAGTTTTTATTGGTTTAGACCTTCTCAATAAAATGTCACAAACATCAAAAAGGAAAAAACATATATCCAAAAAGTTCATATACCTTTTCATCTTCCCATTGAAAAAAATTACAGTCTTTTCTATCTCTACAGGCTGAGCAGGCATAAAACCTCCGCGTTCCTTCTCTCCCTTGGCTCACCTTTACAAACAGAAGAGTGGGTCCTAGTTCCAGAGGAGGAAAAAACATGTCAAACGATAGTCATCTACATCAAGTTCCTAGTTTTCACCGCCCTTAAATAAAACTTGTTTTAGTCTTATGCACAATTTGTCAAAATTAAATCCACTACTTTGTTCAAAAAACATTTTTCCTTTTCTCTCAGTCACAACATTCAGAGATATATCTATTTTTTTATATAAATATATTCTTATATTTCTTATATTTAAGAAATAATTTTTGAGAACTGGTCTCTGCTATTGTCAGTGTAACTGCTGTCTACAGAGTGAAGGACCTGGGTCCTGAGACTAAAACAAGGAGGGGTCCAGAGAACCGAGCACTTTGCCATCTCCCGCTCAGCTATCCTTTCAGAGAAAATCGGAGCTTTTAGAGTCGCACACACCCTCTCTCTGCAAGTTAGAGAAAAACCTGGTCTGGTTTCTAAGCAAGAATTCATTCTATCATTCTCCCTAAGTGTTTTTTATTGAAAAGAGAGCAAATCAACAAATGAAATCCCCAAGTACTGGGCAATGGGAATTAATCACATGAAGTCCCTTACCCAGCCTCTTCCTTAAAAAAGAAATGTTAACAGCCTTGGAGCCAAAACCACAACAGTGAGGACTCTCTACAACGGTTTCTCAATAAGTTGAAAAACACGACACCCCGAGAAAGGGGCGTTTTCTAGGCATCACGCACCGTGGGGGAGAGGCAGATAAACACCGGGAGCTCTGAAAGCCCACGGCACCTTCACGCCCCCGGAGCCCCACAGCCAGGCTGAGCCCAGACACGGACCCACCGTGAGGGCAAAGCGGAGCAGGAGTGGCAGGATCGGAGGAAAGCACCACCTCCGCTCCCGAGCTCTCCGAGCGACCCCCGTTCCCCTCTGTCTCCACGGCTCCAAGCCCGTCCCTGGGGGCTGCCATCTTCCCGCCGCCGTCCCGAAAGCCTCAGTCCGAACCAAGGAAACTGAGAAAGAGTGTCGCCGAGACCCACAACGGACTCACAGCGCCCCCATGCGCCTAGGAGGAGCTGCAGCTGCTGGGCGCAGGCCACGCCCCCAAACGCTTTCCCGCCAGCCCTGGGCTGGCCCTAAATGGCGCCAGGTGCAGCGGGTGGGGCGACTCGCAGGCAGTTTGTTGGACCTGTGCAAGAACCTCACCTGTTTTCTGCTGCACCCTCAGCAACTGTAAGTACCCTCGTTTGGTAAGAACACAGCCAGGAGATGAGATGACTCTTTAGGGCAAAGATTTGGTGGGGTTCGAAGTCCAAAAGGTGGTGTCACTACCAACAGCAGCTAGAAATAGTTTCAGCAGCAGATGGTTGGTGGAACCATCCTCTTTTTTCAAAGTCACTCTCACGCTGTCATGTATCACTTTTTGGTTTTTTTGGACGACGTTTATAGTTGCATACAGTAGTTGCATGGCCACTGACTCTTTTTTTTTTTTTTTTTGGTGAGAAAGATTGGCCCTGAGCTAACAGCTTGAGGGAGATTGTCCCTGAGCTAATATCCATGCCAATCTTCCCCTATTTTGTATATGAGATGCTGGCCACAGCATGGCTTGATGAGCAGTGTGTAGGTGTGCACCCGGGTCCAAAGTCACGAACCCTGGGCCACTGAAGCAGAACATGAAAACTTAACCACTATGCCACCAGGCTGGCCCCTCCACTGACATTTATACGTGGAAAGAAATGAAACCGGACCTATTCGCATATGACATGATTGTCTACATAGAAAATCCCAAGGAACCTACAAAAATAACTCAAGTTTAAACCGAGTTCAGCAAGGTTGCAGGACATCAGATAAACATACAAAACTCCATTGTACTTCTGTATACTAACAATGAACACCTGAACGCCCAAATTAAAAACAGACTACCACTTACAACCACTCAGATCAATGAAACACTTAGCTGTAGATCTAACAAAACATGTAACAGACTTGTATGCTGAAAACTACAAAATGCTGATGAAAAAAGATCTAAATAAATGTAGAGACATACCATGTTCACGGATGGGAAAACTCAACATGGTAAAGATGTCAGTTCTCCCCAGGTTTAGCTCAGATACAGGTTTAGCACAATTTCTATCAAAATCCCTGCAGGATGGGGCCGGCCCCGTGGCCGAGTGGTTAAGTTCGTGTGCTCTGCTTCAGTGGCCCAGGGTTTCGCTGGTTCGGATCCTGAGCACAGACATGGCACTGCTCGTCAGGCCATGCTGAGGCAGCATCCCACATGCCACAACTAGAAGGACCCACAGCTAAAATATACAACTATGTACTGGGGGGATGTGGGGAGAAAAAGCAGAAAAAAAAAAAGAAGATTGGCAACAGTTGTTAGCTCAGGTGCCAATCTTTAAAAAAGAGAAATCCCTGCCAGATTTTTGTAGATATAGACAATATTATTCTGAAATTTATATAGAAAGGCAAGGGACCTAGAATAGCTAAAACAATTTTTAAAAATAATAATAAAGTGGAAGAAATCAATCTATCCAATTTCAAGACATTGTATTGCTGCAGTAAACACATACACACTCACACGGTTGTAGATGAAATAGTCAAATGCCTCCTTATAGAGAATTGATGGCACACAAACATATTTAACATCACACATTTAATACTATGGCATATTAATTTAGAAATATTGCTCTACTCGACACACATCCATGCAATGGTTTCACTCACATCCTTTGACTGTAAGAGTTCCCTTTTTCATGTTGTCCAGCACAAGTTTCCAGAACACATTATCTGCACTTCTGCATCTTTTGGGTAGGAAAGTTTCTGGATCCATATTTGATGATATTTTTGGAAATTTTGTGTCAAGACCTAACTACCCATTCTCATTAACATTAACAGTTCTATTGTTTTAAAAAAAATCTCTTATAGGCAAAGATTTGTGATCTTTAAAAGACTTGTTTACAAAATTTGCAATTGAATTAATGAAATCACACCACCAGAAATAGTTAGTGAGTTTGTATTTTCTTCTTCTCTCTTAAATAATTCTGATTCCGGGATGTGACCTCCGTAAGCAGCCCACTAGTAGGGATTTTCAGCCTTTGCAAGTGAGCTTCCTCAAACAGTGAAAGTCCAGCAAAGGTTGATCCCAATAAGGTAAATGAGAGAACACCCCCTAGTGTGAGAGACTTTGAAGGTTTCAAAAAGGAGGCAGTTCTTCTTTTCTGGGGGATAATTTTGGGGAGAAAAAAAAATCTCACCTCATATTCAGACATATATATTAAATACTCTAGGTTGAATATTTGCTGAAGTGGTCATGAACATGAGCAATAAGTTATGGATGTTTCATTTTACTGTCTAACAATGTTTTTAGTTTGTGCAAGTAAATCCGTGAGCAGAGAAAAGCTGACAGACATAGCAAGATTCTCAAAGGAAACCAGTGGCAGAGCTGAAAATAGGCCCTGAAGCCTGAGCACTGAGACAGACCCCTGTGAACACCCCGTCTCACAGAGGATAACGCTAATGCTGCTAGACACGCTTGAATCCAGCGACTCCCCCACCAGAGGATGTGGACAGACTGGGCAGCTTCCTGTAGGGACCAGGATGTCTCGCTCCTTGACTTTGTTCATCGAGTAAAAGCCCTCCAAGGCCCAAATCTCCTGCAGAGAAAGTGGTTGAAGCCGGAGGAGCAGTTTGTAGCAGACGCCTGACCCACTTCTCTGTCTCCTGTAAGAGCACCCCAGTTTTCTCTGGGAAGCCAACTCTCACCAAATTGAGCCCATGTCATCTGAGAGATACGAAGAACCACGGGGACTGGCTTGGTTTGGGCAGGTGACTTGGGGCGTCTGCTGAAATGAATGAGAAAGACAGCTGTAATAATAATAATATGCCTTGATCTTGTCATCTCAGTGGCATCCATAGTGTTGATTTGTCGTGTGCCTGAGGGGTTCGGCTCTCCAGTCTTGCCTCGGATATGTGATGCATCTGGTGGTTGGCTGGTCCAGGTTCACCTTGGCTGGGATAACAGCTCTGCTCTGTGTGTCTCTCATCCTCCTTGCAATGTGCTGAATGTTCCTGTCCACCCAAAATTCATAGGTTGAAATCCTAACCCCCAAAGGTGATGGTGTTAGTAAGTGGGGCCTTTGGGAGGGGATTAGGTCATGAGGGTAGACCCATCATGAATGAGATTAGTGCCCTTATAAGGGGCCCCAGAGAGCACCCTAGCCCGTTCTGCCATGTGAGGATGCAAGAAGTCTGTGACTCAAAGGGGAGCCTTCATCCGATCTTGCTGGCACCCTGATCCTGGACTGCAGCCTCCAGGACTGTGAGCAATAAACTTTTCTGTTGTTTTAAGCTACCCCGTCTGTGGTATTTTGTTACAGCAGCCCTAATGGACAAGACACTTCTCTTGGAACCAGGGGGCCGGTCTGGGCACATCTTTCTTATGGAGGGGTGGGAGCACAAGAGAGCCAGGAGAAACAGACGAATTCTGGAGGCCTAGGCTTGGAGCTGCCACTGTCACTTCTACCTCATTCTTTTGGCTCAAGAAAATCACGTGGCCAAGCATTGCAGAGCTACATGGCAAAGGACATGGGTCAGAGAGGGGTGAAAAACTGGGACCAATGACACACTCTATTACAGAAGCACTCTTCACTGGGGCAACCAAGTGGCTGGTGGCAGTGTGTCCCCCAACTTGAGGAGCACATGCCTTAGCATGAAGCCAATAAGAGGAAAGCAGAACTAGAAGATAGGAATGTATGATGAGTCCATGTGTGCACCTAGATCCAGATGTGCCTGAAGCTCTCAGTTACGTGAATCACAAATTCCTTTGTCTCCTAAGCCACTTTGAGATGGGTTTGGTTCTATCAATCACAACCAAGAATGTCGATTAACCCTCTGTGGCTGCAGCCATAACAATTGGATGGGTGTATCTGTCCATTTAAATGCCTTGAAGCTCTGTTCCAGTCAAGACCAGCTAATGCTGCTCTGCATTCTCCCTACCACAATCGCTGTCAATATTCCTGCTATCCCCGCCTCCATCCCATCTGTCCCTTCTGGCCCTGGCAGTGGAACCCAGTCTCCCCAGATGCCTTTTGCCTCAAAGTGAGCACCTCCTTCTCTTTAAGGGGAAAACTGTCAGGGGAGATGACCAGTAACAATAGACCCCTACGAAGACTTTACCGTGGCAGACTCTGCTTTCTGGTTCTGCATCCTGACTCCCGTGCTGACAGAGTCACAGCAACAGACTGAATTGTATTCCCCCAAAAGGTCATATGTTGGAGCTCTAACCCCCAATGTGATGGTATTGGAGGGGGGAACTTTGTAAGGTAATCAGGTTTAGATGAGGTCATGAGGGTGGGCCTCCATAATGGGATTAGTGTCCTTATAAGAAGAGGAAGAGACACCAGAGCTTTCTCTCTCTCTCTCTCTCTCTCTCTCTCTCTCTCTGCCATTTGAAACACAGGAAGAAGGTGGCCATCCACGAGCCAGGAGCCAGGAGCCGAATCTGCCAGCACCGTGATCTTGGACTACTCATTCTCCAGAGCTGTGAGAAACGACTTTCAGTTGTTGAAGCCGCCCGCTCTGTGGCGCTCCGCTACAGCCGCCCGAGCTGACTGAGACACTTGTGGAGCTCCTTTCGTCCTCCCTCTGCTTTAATTTCTGAGAGTAAAGCTCAGCAAACCTCTGCCCACCCCTCAGAAGCCTTAACTGTGACAACATGGCTGGAGATGGGCTTGGAATCAAAGGGGCTTTGTGTAGCGTCCCTCGGATCTCTGAAAAACAGCGACGACGCTGCTGAACCAAACACCCTGAAAGTAGGGACGCCCTTTGATAAGGTACAGAGACTCCCTGGGCATTTCTGCTGTGCTGGGCTTGCTATGCACCCTGGGACATGACAGACAGGAGCCCCACTGGAGCGGGCCTTTCAGAAGGCAGTGAAGTCCTGAGGCCAGGGACCCCAGCAGGCACCCCGTCAGTGCTCTGAGGGGGCTGCGCCTCCACGCTTCTTCCTGGCTACCTGCGCCCCTCTGGTACGAGCGTTGGGAACGAGGTGCAGTAGAGAATGTGTATTTATGTGCGTGAAAGTGACCATTCCTTATAAACACACAGAAAGGAAACCTGCAGATAGATAAATCTACTGAAAGGTAAAATTCCATGGGTAGATGGTTGAATAGTGTCCCCCAAAGACTCAGGTCCACCTGGAAACTCAGAATGTGATCTTACTTGGAAATAGGGTCTTTGCAGATGTAATTAGGTAAGGATAGAGATGAGGTCGTTAGAGTGGGCCCTAAATCCGATGAGAGTGTCCTTCTAAGAAGATGCAAGGACACAGAGACAGAGGTGGGTGGAGGCTGGAGTTATCTGCCACAGGCCGAGGAATGCTTGGGGTCACTAGAATTTAGGAAGAAGCAAGAAAAGCTCCTCCACCAGAGCCTTGGGAGGGAGCGTGGCCCTGCTGGCACCTCGATTTCGAACCTGGAGCTGTGAGAGAGTAAATTTCTGTGGTTACCGCCCCTGATTTGTGGCGCTGTGTTACAGCAGCCCCAGCAAACTCAGACACCCTGTCTGCGGCTTTGTCCTCCTCCCCTCCTGAGCCCAGCTCTGCCACTCCCTTTCCAAGTGGCTTGGAGTAGTCGCTGTCTGAGCTTCAGTTTCCTCATCTGTAATAATAACAGTATCTACCGCCGAGGAGTGGGAGTGTGGGGGTACATGAGAAAATGACGCGAGAGCACCGTGTCAACAGCCAAATGGTACGTACGTGTTAGTCATTACACTCCTCTCTCATGGCTGTGTTCAGATATGTAGGGGTGCTGCTACGGGGAAGAGAGTTCCTTTTATCCTGGGTTACTCAGCACAGTAGAACCTGGGTGAGATTATAAGGAGGAAGATTTTGGCTAAAAAAAGAACATACTGTGGGGTTCCTAGAAGCGAGCCCTGAATGGAGATTCTCGTGTAAGTGATTTATTGAAGGAGAAACCTGCAAGGAAGTGAGAGAAGCAGGAGAGGGCAGGGGTAGAAGGAGGCAGAGATGTGGTTTCAGCTGGAGTCCAGCCTCAGTCTGATGCACAGGGAGCTCTGGTGCATAGCTGGCGCTGCGGTGTTGCCTGCTTTGGGGGTGGAGGGGGACTATGGTACCCCACCATCAGTCATGCTCAATCCCAGACTAAGCAGAAGTCCTGGTTGGGACCTCAGAGAAGCCTCCTTAAAGGAACGACTCAACTGGGAGATTTATCTGCTTATTTTTTCCCCCTTCTCCTCCCTGCTGGTGGAATACGATACGATGACTGACGCTCCAGCAACCATCTTGGACCTTGAGGTAAACTTGAGACAGAAAGCAGGCAGAAAGATAGGAAAACTAGACTGTCTAACAACTTCTTTCATGTGAGAATAAACCCTTGTCTGTTTAAGCCACTTGTATTTTGTGTTTTCTCTTACATGTAATCAAACTTAATTTTAATAGAGGGTTTTTTAATGGCACTTTAGGTTTCAAAAATATGATTTGTAACTAAAATCATATACACTATGTACTGTCCAGATTATAATGCTTCTGCCTTAAAAAGGGAAGGATTGAACTTGGATGATAACTGTAATTTTTTTGAACATTCCACCATGTGTCTGGTGCTTTAAATATGTAAACCATTTCATCCATATGTTAGTTGAGGGGAGCTCTTATTCCACACACTGCACACCCGAGGAGACGGGAGCAGAGGCTCGGCCATGCGGGGCAGTGTGGAGTCAGATGGTCTTGGTTCTAATCCCACCCACCACTTAGCTTAGGCAAGCGGTCACTTGACCAGTTTCTTGTTCCATAGCAGACGGGCGATGATAATAGTACCTACCCTTTTAGGTACTATCGGGAAGATTAAAAGTGATGATCCATGTAAAGCATTCACCAAAGTGCCTGCAACATCGCGAGCAGTTAATAAAGCTTAGTCATGACGATGACTCAGAGTCAGAGCTGAGGCAGGATGTGATCCGACGGCCCTCCCACTCCAGTGCTCCTGCTCCTTCTGCGACCTCAGCAGACAGGCCACACGGGCCCTCACCTCAGGGGATGGAGCACGCTGCCTGCTGCTTCTCCTCTGTCCACCTCTCCCCCCTCTTGGCTTGGTTAACACCTAGTCCTCTCAGGGTTGTTGAGACGTCTCATCCCCTGGGAAAGCCCAGGATTACGTTAGATGCACCTCTTACATGCTCCTCTGGGATCCTGAATGGACATCAGTGGTATTAATTATTGCTCTACATTAAAACAGCCTAATGGCTTGCTTGTGCTCCCCTCTACGCTGTAAGTCCTTTGAGAGCAATGATTGTGTATTATGCTTATATCCACAGTGCTGGCACATAACAGACATTTAATACATATTTTTTGATTAAATGACAAAATCAGTTTCAAAATACCTGAGAGTATTTGAGCTGGAAGGGACCACTGAGTTATCCCATCTCGTGATTCCAACAAGGGCCAAGCTACCTCCTGAGGACTGGAAATGTGTGGAGGTGTTTTGCATTGTCACAGTGGTTGGAGGGCACTACCAGAATTTGGGGAGTAGGGGCTGGGTACTAAATGGCCTGTAATGGTTAGAACAGTCTTGTGAAATAAATAGTTTATTACTCTAAGTCCGGCACAATTTTTTTTAGAGTCTGGGCAGACATTTATGGAGGTGAAAAACCTGTTTATAGTTTAAGTCTAGGATCTAACTTTGATTTACACAAAGTATTTTTGTACAGTTTTAACATATCTGAATATGCCAGGACTGCATCTACTGCATATATCATGGGGAAATTATACTTTACTTTGTCCAGAAAAAAAATTGTTCACCATTGTGGAAAACTCACATGACCAAAACAACATGGCTCATGTTATCCAAATCCTCAGTGGAGCCCATCTGTATCTGCTTTCATAGCCATTAAGTTCAGGATGATCAGCGATTTCGGTGTAACAGGCCGTTCCAAATCTTAGTGGCTTAAAAACAACAGTCAGTCCTTCTCCCCCATGCATCCGGGGCAGGCTGGGCTCAGCTGGGTGGTTCTGCTGCAGACTTGGTCAGCTGGGCTTGGCTCGGAGCTTGGGTTGGGCCCCGGTCTGCTCCATGTGTCTCTTCTGAAGGGGCAGCAGACGCCTGGGAGAGGCTCCTCTCAGGATAATGGCAGAGGCACAAGAGAGCAAGTCCCACCGCACAGCACATTTCATGCCTCATTTCGGTCTTCCTGCGACGGTCCCACTTGGCCAAAGCAGGCCACATTGGCAAGCCCCAAATCAAGGGGTGGGAAAGAAGGTACCCTCCTCCCACGGAGGTAGAGGGGAGAGAGTGAGTCTTTCTGAGCAAAAATCTTATCCACCTCAGGGATTCCACATGAATGTCCTGATTTCAAAATGTCATATATAAAGAAAAAATTCAGTTTTGCCTTACTTAAATCCAAATGTACTCATTATAAGAAAGTATATGCATCTGACTACTTCATTGTAACATAACAGTGTGGTCATGCTGAGCACTTACATTTGAAATACATATTCTATTGAAGTAACTGTCCTTTTATTTTTAAATACTTTATATATTTTATTCAAAAGTAGGCATTTAGGTAGATTACCCATGAATTTCATTTCAGGAGAGTCCAGAGGGTCGGCAAAGGGTAAAGGTAATCCAGTACAGCCCAGCCTGGGGAGGGGCGGTGCAGCCGAGCCACACGGGGCTCCGCTGGAATCCTGCTCCACCGTTCACAAATGAATCATGTCACTTCAGGCAAGTGGTTTCACATCTCTGAGCATCTCCCAGGTGTACTGTGGGGATAATAATACGTATCTCTTCCCAGTTTCAGGAAGAATGAAAGGAGATCTCATGTGTGACATTCAGGACCCTGGCAGGAAACAGATGGCACCCTCAAGTGGGGTAATTGAGGGGAGTTTCTCGTTTTCAAAATTACTTTATTGCGGTCACCTTGGTTTATAGAACTGTGTGAATTTCAGGTGTACGTCATTATATTTCAGTCTCTGGATAGACTGCATCGTGTTCACCACCAAAACTCTGGTTTCCATCCATCACGTCACCATACACATGTGCCCCTTTCCTCCTTTTGCCCTCCACCCACCCCCTTCCCTTCTGGTAACCACCAATCTCTTCTCCTTATCTATGGGTTTGTTTGTTTACTCTTAAGGGGACTGTTACCCAGGTTGAGGGCAGAGTTAAGGTAAACTACCCAGGGAGTGTGCATTCCCTCAGGGCTGTTAAGAGCAGGGAGCCATTTCCACCCCTGGGTCCGCAGGGCCAAGGGGAGACAGAAGTTACTGGAACCCAAAGAGAATAATTATATGGAAAGGGCAGCCCTACAAGAGCCATGGCCTCAGCAGAGGGCCTCAGCCAACCATGACAAGCACACAGGGAGGAGGCTGTGGGGGTAAACACTCCAGCCTCACTCTCTTCCATTGGCCCTCAGACCTTCCATCTCTCCACGTCTCCTATTGGCCAAAAACAACCCGAGGTGAGACATGGAGGTGCTTGTTGATGGCGTCCACAAAGGTCGGCCTCCCAGAGCAGACAGCAGGAGGGCAAGAGAGGAGAGTAGATCTGCAGGAGCAGATAGAAGATGTTCGACACAGCGTGAAAAACACTCAACGTGGAACACGGCAAAGGAGCAACTCTGAGTGGCAGCACTGTTAAATCAATAAGTAAACACAAACACACACACACGGGAAAACAAATAACCTCTCCAAATTAGGAATAGAACCTCCACCAGAATCCAGTCCATCTTTCAGAAGAGGAAGAACATCTTTCTTCTCTACCCATCTTGGGTTCTCCAGCTGAGGCCATATAAATTGGACTAAGAGAGAAAGAAAAAACAAGCAGAACTGTATTAACCTGTGCATCAAGCATACACATGGAGTGCTTAGAGATGAGTCTCTCAAAGCGGTGGTTAGAGCCTGGGCTTATACAGCATCTTAATAAAGGAATGATACATTTTTAGAGCGATGACAAGACAAAGGAAAAGGACTTGGAGCTCCTAGGGCGGCAAGTTGTGGGAAGACAAGGATATGGGGAAATTCATGGTAGATAAGGGTCTAAAATTGTTTCCAGTGATCAACTTCTGTCCCCTTGGTAGAGAGGAAAGGGGAGGAGGACATCTTTGTAAATTACGTCCTGCTTTTAAGCAAACAGGGGAAGGGCAGAAAGCTTTTCTTGTATCTACTTCTCAACTGCCTTCACCTCCAGATCCTCCTTCCCCAGGGTGGCATATTTAGAAGCAGCCTATTCTGTTCCCTTCCGATCCCTACATTCACAGTCAAGGGCTTTTCCTACTGCATTCCTCTATAGATTACACCACATTTCTGCGTCAATGACGACAACTTGCCCTCTCTGAGCCACACACTTTTGAAACTTAAAGGTAATAATACTTACCCTCAAAACATATTAAGGGGTAGCAGCATTTAAGCTAAAGTTTTGGGGAATTACGCATTTCCAAATGCTCCCTGGCAGCTCGGATAGCGAGTGAAGCTAGATGGTAAATTGCTCAGAAACTACGCCAGGCGATGGCGACCCCTCTTTAAGCCAGTGCCTTGGTTTACAGGCAGTTCCTGATTACCTTAAGTAGCGCAATTTAAAACAAACCCTTGAAGGCTAGAACAGCTTTCTGGAGTGTTCCCAAAGCCTCACTGAGATAAAAGGCGGTCTCATTCACCCTGACGGGCACTCAGGCAGAAGCATCACCAAGTCTGCTTAAACCAGTTCCAGCAGCCGCGGGATTAGTCCTGGATATTTATGACTCCCTGACTGAGGGGAAGGCGAGGCCGCCTGATTTTCTACTTTCCGCAGGTCTGAGTCCTTTCAGAAGCCTTAACCGTGGGGATTGTGGTAACTAGTGCTGAGGAGCAGCCGGGGTTCCCGGAGTCAAAGGAAAAGTAAACACAGCCCTTTGTGTGCAGTAGATTGGCTGCTTCTTTTTGATATCACATGCTTTCAATTTCCAGGTCTGAAAAAACCCACAAGGCGACATGCAGAGGCACCAGCCACCGACTGCCAGTCTGGCATTTCCCCGGCTGGAACCGGGTGTCAGGATTCTGAACTGATACCTTTTGAAATGCCGCTGAGTTTCTCGGGGAGTCAGGTTTGGGTGAATCTCTTACTATTACCCAGTGACCTCCGGTGCCTTCACCTCTCAACCCCAGATTAACCCCAAGTGTCCCAAAACAGAAAACTTTAAAATAGGTTTTTGATTCCGAATCTGTCACCACGCTCCAGGAAAGACGATAGCAAATCCAGGCATTTGCATGTGCACGTACTCCCTTTATGCGATAATCCAAGCCCATAAACACAGATGTGTGCCTTATTTCATCATCTAAAACCACACATCCAGAAGTACCATTAATACACACAGACAGCTGCTCGGATAGAAACCAAATCTGTAACTAACAGAATCCGTACTGCACTTTTCACAAAAGGTAGCATATTTCATCCTCTTTACGAACCTCTAAAGTTACCATGAACTGATGTATTTTACATGTGGAGAGAAAGCTGGTCTGGGAGATTGCAAGATCTGTCCAAGGACACAGAGCTAACAAGGAACAGAACCAGGACTTAAATACAGGTCTATTCCAATCTCAAACTCTTAGTCAAAAGGGAATTGTGGCATGCCTTCCATTTATTCAAGATAACCAATATTAGAACATAAGTTTACAGTTTTTCTTTTTTTCTTTTCTTTCTTTCTTTCTTTTTTTTTTTTTTTTTTTGCTGAGGAAGATTGGCCCTGAACTAACATCTGTTGCCAATCTTCCTCTTTTTGTTTGAGGAAGATTACCCCTGAGCCAACACCTGTGCCAGTCTTCTTCTATTTTGTATGTGGGTCGCCACCACAGCATGGCTGACAAGTGGTGTAGGTCCACCCCTGGGATCTAAACTCACGAACCTGGGCTGCCAAAGCAGAGCACACCGAACTTAACCACTACGCCATGGGGCCAGCTCCAGGTTTACAATATTCTGAAATGGCAAAAGTTAAATCTGGGGCTGGCCCAGTGGTATAGTGGTTAAGTTCACATGCTTCGCTTCAGCAGCCTGGGCTTTGTGGATCTGGATCCTGGCATGGACCTACACACTGCTCATCAAGCCATGCTGTGGTGGTGTCCCACATACAAAATAGAGGAAGATTGGCACAGATGTTAGCTCAGGACAAATCTTCCTCAAGCAAAAAGAGGAAGATGGGCAACAGATGTTAGCTCAGGGGCAATCTTCCTCACTAACAAAAAAAAAAAGTTAAATGTATTGTACTACTTAGTGTTAGAATAAAAACTTTAAAACTTAAGGATTTATTTTCTCAAATAACTCTTTACAAGGATTCCAAATCAAGCCTAAACTTACTTACTGAATAAAATGATGCTCATTAAAAACACAATTTGCTTAGATAACTGCACCTTTGTTATATATTTTCACTGTTTGATCCATGACCCACTTAACATTTAGGGATGGTCATGTGAGAAGCACTGAGTAAAAGCAAAACAGCTCACAGCAGTGAACGAAAGCCCACAGAAGTCAAATGCAACTTTGTTGCAAGTTATTTTGTTCCCAAGATTTTATGCTTAATTAGTATCATTCACGACAATATTCTTTTGCTACTGTGACAGATCAGTACATTTGCCTGATGAAAACCAACTCATCATCATCATCATCAAAAAAGAAAGCTAAATAGAAAAACTCATTGATAAAGATGATGAGACAAGAATTGTTTTCAAAGAAATTCAGGGGATCTAACCCCCTTCCACAGAGACCAGAGTATTTTTTGACTGTGAACAGAGTTCTTGCTGCCACAGCTGTCCGGCTTCTTTGGGACCTCCTCCTCTACCATGATGAATTCTTTGATAAAAAGTAAGAATTTTTCTCTAACTCCTGATGTAAATGCCGTAAGAAGTATGCAGAATCACCTATGAGATATTGTTAATGTTTAAGCTGAACCTGTTCAAGCTTTTAGATCTCACTTCCAGTTTATAGAAAATACAGGGGATAGAGGATCAAGAGGAACACTAAGAGGAAATAATCAGACAAATCCAGATTGGGCGATAGTCCAAAAGTTAACGTCATGGGGAAAGGGAAGGTACTGCTCTAGATCAAAAGAGAACAGGGGCCCACCCGGTGGCGCAGCGGTTAAGTTCACATGTTCCACTTTGGTGGCCTGGGGTTTCCTGGTTCGGATCCTGGGTGTGGACACGGCACCATTTGGCATGCCATGCTATGGTAGGCATCCCACATATAAAGTAGAGGAAGATGGGCACAGATGTGAGCTCAGGGCCAGTCTTCCTCAGCAAAAAGAGGAGGATTGGAAGCAGTTAGCTCAGGGCTAATCTTCCTCAAAAAACAAACAAACAAACAAACAAACAAAAAGAGAAGAAACAAGTGCGATGTATAAAACTCAACTGGATCCCAACTCAAAGAAATCTAGCTGTTTGGGGCTGGCCTGGTGGCATAGCAGTTAAGTTCACATGCTCTGCTTCAGCGGCCTGGGGTTTGCAGGTTCGGATCCTGGGCATGGACCTATGCACTGCTCATCAAGCCATGCTGAGGCAGCATCCCACATACAAAATAGAGGAAGATGGGCATGGATGTTAGCTCAGGGACAATCTTCCTCAGCAAAAAGGGGAGGATTGGCAGCAGATGTTAGCTCAGGACTAATCTTCCTCAAAAAAAAAGAAAAGAAAAGAAAAGAAATCTAGCTGTAAAATATGTATTTGGCGAATAATAGAAGATTTGTGAATATGGTCAATATAATAGATACTAGGAATTTTTTGTAGATTTTCTTAGATGATGTGGTGGTAAGTGGAATGACCTTATTTTCTTCCTCTTTCAACATGGCCTCCCCACATGACGAGCTTGGACTTCCTCACAGCGTGGTGGACTCTGGGGAGCTGGACTTCTCCATGGCAGCTGGCTTCCCAGGGTGAGGGTGGAGGCTGCCGGGCTTCTTAAAGGCAAAGCCCCAAACCGGCATAGCTTCACTTGCACTGCATTCTGATGGTCAAAGCAAGTTGCACGGCCAGCCCAGACTTGAAGGGAGAGAGGGAGACTCTGCTCCCGGAAGGGTGGACCAGAGAGGCAAGGAACCGATGACAGCATCTTTGGAGACTGTCTATGCCCCAACCTCCAAAGAACAAGTTAAATGCATCAAGAGGTTGAATGAACGCCATACCCTCCACAATCCAGGAGAAATCCAGACACTGAAAATATGCTTCCATTATAAATAAGACAAAAGTTGAGAGCTCAAGTCAAAGGCAGTCAAGCATTTGGTTTACAAAGCATTGGCCTCCCTTCTCCTGTATGTAAGGAATTTACTCTCTTAAGAGGCAAAGGGAGAAATGTACAGGTGTGAGACCAACAAAGATTAGGACACTGTTCCCTGGAGAATATTCGATCTTAGACCTATTACCATTTTCAGGTTTTCCTCCTCCCTTTGAGCAGTATCTGAAGAGTGAATCCAAGACTCAAAACTGTATTTTACTGATTTTTATATTCCTTCTGCCTTTTAGAGAATCTGGCATACAATGAGCACACAATGAGTGTTTGTAGAATTCAATGAGTCATTTAAATCCATCCTATACAAACTGTGATCCATTCCAGACCTGGGGTTTTAGGAAATGAAAAAGGGGCTAAAGCAAATTCACGTATATGCCACGACTGAGAAATAAGCTGCTCTGGTTCCCAACCATGAAGAACAGAACCAAGAGCCCAGCAGTAAGCAAGAAATTTATCTTAGTAATTAAAATGATTACTACAAACCCAAGTGGAAAAGTTCTACCTGTTCTTAAGAAGGCCTCTCAGACCTCGCTTGAGAAGCTATTTCCA